AGGAGTAAAGTGATATCTGCTATCATTTAAGAGCTCAGCAGGCTGCCTTACACAGTCAAAAGGTTTTATTAGAAAGGATACTGAAAACATTGGTGATTGGATAGTTTAATTAAAAACGTGAGAAAGAAAGAGGATACATACGGAAAGCAAGAGCACAGTACCTAATGGCCAACATGTGAGGCCCTGTGGAGAAGCACCGGAGGGTAGAGTCTTATAGGAGCAAACATGCTTGAGATACATTTCACTTGTTGTGTTTTGGGGAAGCTACAGACAGTAGCACAGATTAAATACATACGTGCTTGATTACTAAGTACCTGTTACTGCCTCAGGAGCAACAGGAAAAGACAGGTAACTTTTGAGTCAGCAGAAGAAAACTAAGATATCTATGGAAACCAGGAAAGGGAGAGGGGAAAGGATACTGCAGGACAAGGGGGATGGACTAAAGATGGAGATGCTCTAGGTGGAGAAACAAGATGCTCAACCTCCAGGAGAGCAGCCATTTCCTGCGATCCCTGATGCTTCTAAATATAGCATGAAGGGTACCATAGAGCTTGGAAAAGAAATGAATATGAGGTAAGTTCGCCATTATTTGAAGCTACCATCTACCTGAGAATCCAATAGAATCACAATAGAAAATTACCTGAAAATATTTTTAGCCATATGAAACTATAACTTTCAAATAGGTTGTTCTTAGTTATACAATAAAACTAACTGGTGTGTAGAGCATGAATAAGGACATACAGGCACCCGAGAGCAATACTAATATTTGGTGGATTGGCAATTTGAAGCCCAGATTCAATTGTGACCTACAGTTAATGATATTGAGACAGTTTCCCTACTGTATTGTATAGAAGGTTTCAGAGGCTAGGGTAGACAGAGGCATGGAGATGCATTTATTGTATGTAATTGGAATTAGTCACTGTTCCCCTGGAGGGTCCACAGAAAGTTCTTTACCAAGGTGTTCAGAAACACACTGGAATCGAGTCTGTTTTAAATGGGAGTTTTGGAAAGCCTTAATAGTAGAACTCAGGATAGAATCTATTACCAGAGAAGAGGCAGAAGCAGCAATTGCACAGAGTCATGGCTTTATGGAATCAGAATGGTGTGATCTGTACAGATCTGTGACAATATTTAACTTAACACAGGAACTCACAGAACCAACCAAATATGCCACGGCTTACTAGAATATGCTGATGTTAAAATGGAAAACTTGCTGGTCTTAGGGATACATAGGGATATATGTTGAGCTAAGAGTCTCAACCAGTTCTCAGAATCAGGGCTAATTCCCAGACCAGAATCCCCCAAGAGAAAGCAGAGCCTCCTGGGGGAAAACCCCATGGTATGGTGAGCGTGTGTTCTATGACTCAGCCCCAGAACTTGTTCACAGGGACCTCTGGTCAATTACTATGTGACTGAGCACTGGAGAAAGCAAAACCCCAGCCTTTCTAGTGTAAAGTTCAAGGCACAGTGTACAAGTTCTCTTTCTGACTGGGACCTCAGATGCCTTGTTAATATTCCAGAGCCTGGGATACTGGGAGCAAAAGGCTGGATCAGTGTGAGGGCAATCCAGGCTACACATTAAGATTGTGTTTGAAGGAGGAGGTTAGAAGAGGAGAAGAAAAAGGAGGAGGAAGAAGGAAGAGGAAGAGGAGGAAAAAGAAAGTCCTCTATAATCAGATAACTGCTGCCAGAAGTATATGAATATTTATTTTAATTAAATATTCACCTTGGATGTAACATCTGTGTAGGCCTTAACCTGATGTTCTGATGAGGTTCCTCCAAAATGAATAGAAACTGTGTTTTAAAAAGCCCCTTAAAATATTAATTTTTCCAGATAGAACCTGTGTTATGATAAATCTTTATGCCAAAAGCCACCCACGCCACCCACTGCCAGGTAGGTACTTTCTGCCAGCTGCCTGAGTTCTACCTGCAGAGTTAGGGCCCCAAATAATACACAGAGACTTATATTAGGTACAAATGCTGCTTGGCCAAAGACTAGGATTTCTCATCTGTTAGCTCAGTCTTAATTATCATAAATCTATATATTTTATAAGATTTATCTTATAGACGATGCCTTCTGCTGGAGCCCTCTCTTGCTGGTGGATCACATGGTGACTCCAGAGCAGAGACCAGGAGGAAGAGAGAAGGGGAAAAGGGAACCACTTCCTGCTTGTCCTTGCTTAAATATGACTCTCCCTGCTATGTCACTTCCTGCTTGTATCACCACTTCTTTACTACATTTCCCAGAATCTTCCTTGACTCCTAGTCCCTAGTGTAACTTGCTGCCTCATTGGCCAAACAGAACTTTATTCAACAATCAATAAGATGAACATACACAGAAGTACATTCCCCATCAAACTTGAGTACATATTTACTTCTAAAATACTCAGATTTAACAGATAATAGTTTCAGTTTCAACATAAAATACCTTGGGGTAACACTAACCAAAAAAGTGAAAGACCTATACCGTAAGAATTTTGAGTCTCCAAAGAAAGAAATAAAAGAAGATACCAGAAAATGGAAAGATCTCTCATGCTCTTGGATAGGCAGGATCAACATAGTAAAAATGGCAATCTTGCCAAAAGCAATCTACAAATTCAATGCACTCCCCATCAAAATCCCAACATAATTCTTCACAGACCTTGAAAGAACAATTAAAAAACCACCCCCCGGCCTAGCCAAAACAACCCTGTACAATAAAGGAACTTCTGGAGTCATCATCATCTCTAACTTCAAGCTCTATTACAGAGCTATAGTCCTGAAAATAGCTCGGTATTGGCACAAAAATAGACAGGTAGACCAATGGAATACAGTTGAAAACCCTGATATTAACCCACACAGCTACGAACACATGATTTTTGACAAACAATCCAAGTTTATACGATGGAACAAAGAGAACATCGTCAACAAACGTCAGCAAGACAAAACAGCAGGCCACAGACTGGGAAAAGATATTCACCAACCCCACATCTGACAGAGGGCTGATCTCCAAAATATACCAAGAACTCAAGAAGGAAGTCTCCAAAATACCTAAAAATCCAATTAAAAAATGGGGTACAGAACTAAATAGATAACACATCTGACAGAGGACTGATCTCCAAAATATACAAAGAACTTAAGAAGGAAGTCTCCAAAATACCTAACAATTCAATTAAAAAGTGGGGTACAGAACTAAATAGATAATTCTCAATAGAGGAATCTAAAATGGCTGAAAGACACATAAGAAAGTGTTCAACATCCTTAGTCATCATGGAAATG